TGTGACCAGGATCTCACACTATTACCATAAATAGAAACATTGTATACATTTTTAAATTTCCAAATGATTTATACGTTTGATGACTTTTAAAATTCAAATCTGTTAATTATGGGTGTCTCCAAACCAAGCCAAATACTTTCTTACTCCAAGAGGGAAGATCCATTGCACAGTCACACCCAGATCAAAGCAAAGCCAAAGTCCAACGGTGAAAACACAAGGGACTCCCTCGTCATCTTGTGTCTCCAAAGGCCCTGGGCATCTCTGCTTCTCTGCCTCTGCCGTGCACAGCACGCAGCTTGTCTAGTAGGCTTAGGCCAGCTCCACTCGGCACTTGACACTGTCCTTGACGGTTACCCCATGGTTCTGGTGTCTCTGATAGGCTGGGGTGTTCATTGTAACTGAGGCTACACCTTCGCCAGTGGCCTCCTTAGGCCTCTTCAGGGATTCCAACTCTTGGAGGTAAGAGTCAACTTTTCTCCATGACCTCTTCCATCTTGCAGCCTTCATGATGCCAAAGTCAGTACCACACAGGGCCTATCGTTTGCCAGACTTTGCTTCCAGCTTTGATGTGGGCCCTTCTCCCACACCTGACTGGATCATAGTGTCCGTGAGCTGACCCCAGGAAGTGCTGCTCCTAGAAGCTTTCAAAGCAAAGATGCTGGTCTCTTGGTGGCCACAGCTTACTTTTCAGCTTCAGCCGGCTAGCATATATTGTCCTGGTAAAGCAAAGCCTTCACTTCCAGACTCTCAAATAAATCACGTGAATTGTCCTGGCAGAGTCTTTGGGGGACTTGGAAACTTCCAAGCCAGGGCTTCATACCCTTCAGTTTCCTCAGCATTCTGTTCCCGACTCCCACAGACTCGGAGAAGCTTGGAGCACTCGATGGCTTTTCAAGACAAAAACCTCTAAAAGTTTCCCACAGTCCTCCTCTTGAAACAACATGGTCAGAGCTATCACAGAGTGACCCTGCTCTCTGGTGTCAATTTGTGTTCTGGTTGTCTTTCTGTGACTGTGTTCCAACACCAACCGAAGCCAGGTTAGGAAGGAAAGGGTTTATTTCTTCTTATACTTCCATGTCCAGCATAGAGCAAAGTCAGGGCTGCTGCTACCTGGAGGCAGGGACTGCAGCAGAGGCCTTGGAGAAAAGCTACTTGTCAGCTTGCTCCTGGGTTCACAGCCACCTTTGTCATGCCTCCCTGGACCGCCTGCCCAGGTGTGGTACCGCCCAGTGGGCTGAGTCCTCTCCCATCAACTAGCATCAAGATGCTTTACAATGTGCTCACAGGTCAGTCTGATGGAGGAAATACCTGAGTTGGGGTTTCCTCTCCCCAGGTGTCTCTAGCTTGTGTGCAGTTAACGCATGTAATCAGCAGAGCATCCTTGGATACCAGGGCGATGCAAATTAAAACCACCCTTTGAGAGACTGGATCTCACCTCAGGTAGAGTGGCTGTTACAGGAAAAGCAGATGATAACAGCAAATGTGGTTTTGAGTATGTGGAGAGGAGACTCTTATTCAGTGCTAGCAGGGGTGTAATTGGTGCAACCACCATGGAAATCAGGCTGGAGGACACTGAAGATAAATTCACCATATGACCTGGCTGTAGTGACACTGGCTGTATACCCCAAGGGCTCTGCCTCCTAGCACAGAGATGCTGGCACACACCTGTTCGCTGCGGCCCTGTTCAAGGTGGGAAACAAGTCAGCCTGTGCATCCGTCAAGCCAGGAATCACTAATGGGGATGTGGCACTACATCCTGATTTTATTTATCGGTTTAAGAAGAGAAATTAGGAAGAGGGATGGACCCAGAAACTATTATAACAAGTGAGGCCACACAGGGTCAGAAAAACACAGCTATCCTCCCTTTCATGTGGGAGGGCAGGGGAGATAGCTCATTGGTTAAAGGCACACTGGATGCTCTTCCAGAGGACCCAGCTTCGATTCCCAACAGGCACTCGATGGCCCACAACTGCCCATAACCCTTGTTCTAGTTGGGTTGATGCCATCTTTTGGCTTCTGTGGCCACCAGCCATGCACATGGTTACACATACACACATACACACTGGCAAAAACAAACAAACAAACCCGGCATACGTAAAAATAAAAATCTCATTTTTTTCTTAAAGACAGAGGGGGATGAAAAGGATGGGGAGTGTTTTTGAGGAAGGGCGCAGAGATATTGTACATGTGACATGAACAGAGAACAGAGGGTTCTCACGGGGGGGGGGATGGAGGGGGGAAACGGAGAGAGGAGGGAAGAGCAGTGGGAAGACCAACGGAGAGGACTTACTGTGAAACCTCCAGAAGGGAACCTGCTGCTTTGCAAGACACATAAAGAGGTGCTGATGAATGCCATAGAGATCAAACCAAGTTGCCTTTATAATTAAATATTCTTTGTTCTTCATATATTACTAAATACACAAAACATACAAAGCATGGGGGGTTAAGAGCTGTTTGTGCTCTAGTGCTAAATTTACCATGAAATCCTGCAGTCTATTAGCATTGTCTATAGAGTAACAGAACCAATAGAATGGAATTTACCAGAATGGCTGACACAGTAGGGCTTAGGTTTCCCCCAGAGGCTTCCTGCACACAAAGTCTGTGAACCCTGCTCTGCCCATGAAGTCAGGAGCCTCAGCAGCTCCGTTCCCACACCGAAGGCCTGGAAGAACCCTGCAAAATCTCAGCTCTTCAGGCCACATGAGGTCCGAGAAGCTGGGTCGTGATGTCGGGGAGGACAGTCCACCAACAGCAGGAACAGCAATGGGACAAGCACACAGGCCATCATCTGGAAGCCAGGCTTGCAGACCTGCTCCTTCCTGGGTGTCTTTTTACATTTATTATTGTGTGTGTGTGTGTGTGTGTGTGTGTGTGTGTGTGTGTGTTCCTGTTTGTGGATTCAAAGGAGCCGCATGGTTCCCAGGAATACAGCTCAGGCTGTCAGGCTTATGGGTAAGCTCCTTCACCCAGTGAGTCATCTCTCTAGGCTTCTTTGGAGCTCTTTGTATCTGGGGTAAGTTCTGGAAGGTTCCACCTAGGGGAGTGTCTTCTTCCCTCAGTTAGCATTTCCTGGAAATGTCCTCACTGTTATGGGTGGGCTAGTTCACTCCATAGAACAGGAATCCATTTACAGAGCTATGAAGAAGAGGCCATCATTGAGGGGACTCCATCTATGTGGCTGTGGGGAGGTCATCTCCCATGCTGGAGTGACAATTGAAAGATGTGGCTGGTCAGGGATCACTCATGCTCCTCCTATACATAAGCTGGATAAACCCACTGTTTCACACAGCTACACTGGTCTGCCTTTGGTTCCTATGTGGGGGTAAGCTGACTTGCTCACAACTCCCTGGAAAAGAGTTCCTACAATAAAGCATTGCTAGGTAAGGCACAAAGCATTTGACTTTTTTAAACACACATATAATCCATTCACCCACTTAGTTTAAAATCTGGCCAGAGGATTCTAATTTTGTGGGAAACTGAAGCAGCACAGAGAGAAATCAGAAAATATAAAATCATGTCCTTTGTCAAGCCGGGCAAAGTGTGCAGAGAAGAAAGGAGCGCTAAGGCAATGCTAAACTTTTGTTCGAATTAAGGCTTGGTCAGGTGGCAGCTACAGAAGAGTGAGTTTTAACACCAAAGGTGTATCTTATCTGAGGCCCCACTTAATTATTACAATTATTTTCTTTTTCACTCATTCTCGGAGGATTTCTAAAGATTTTAGGCCATATTCAATCCCCTCCCCACAAAACTCTGTCCTCTGTCTATGTAAAGACAGCCTAACGACCCGCCACAGACATCTCTGTAGGTCAGGACTAGATTCTTAAGCTCCTAGGAACTGAGCGGATGTAAAGAAGGGTCCCAGAAGGAAGCAACCTCCCTCAGTGTTTGGCACCAGATCAAAAGTGACACAGAAGGTCCAGAACAAATCTCGTTCCCCCCCAAGCCACTCTGGCTCCTGTCTTGTTGGACTTGCTGCCGGGCTCTAGAGGAAGTCAGCTGAGACCTTCAGCCACTCCGGGAAATCACAATGGTGATTTTGCTTTCTCGGAGATTTCCAGGAAGTCACAGAGGCTGCCTGCCTTCACCAGGCCGAGCACCTTGCAAAGCGGCTCCTTGAGTCCTGATTGGCTTGAAGCATCTGTAGCAGCGATCAAGACCGTTGCACCCTGTGTGTTGTCCTCTTCTTCAAAGGCACAATAACTAGAGGGTGCAACCCAGAGGAACTCCTGTCGTCCTAAACAGAATTCTGCACTTCTGCCTCCAGTGCGGATTGCTGGAATCCTTTGCAAAGTCGTCTCCACTTGAGTGCACGCGTTTCCTGGGGTCTTCTGCTTGGTTGAGACCATTCACATGGGCTAACCCTTTCTCTGGTGAGCACAACACTAAGGCGCCTGCAGACCTTTGCTTAAACCTTGAATGGCCTTTCAGATCAAGTTAACCAATTCAGTCTGCTGATTCCCTGTCGCCTCCGCGGGTGCCAGGGTTTCCAAGATTCAAGAACTGCCTTGATTTTCAGATCCCTCTTTCTGGTTGTCCTGCACTCATACCCCATCCCAGTCCTGGGGCTTTTCCTTCACACGTGGCCAGGTCACCGGCCCGATGACCCCAGCTCGGAATCTCTTCTTGTGCCCCCTCAACACCCAAGTCCCGGGTACTCTCTGCGTTCCTTCCTCTTCCCGGGGTCTCCGGTACCCACCAGGAAGATTCCCCCGGGTACCTGGGGCACCCCGAGTTACCCTAGAGCCCCCAGTCTCTCCCAGCTCTCCTTGACACACTCGGGGCACCTGGGCATCCTGGTGGGTAGAGATGTGGCTCAGTCCGCCGCCGCCCAGGGTCCGGAGCCCCCAGGGCAGGCGCCCTGGAGAAGGAGGTGAGGAAGGGGAGCGAGCCGCGCCCTCGGGCCGACTTGGAGGGCTCCGTGGCCGCAGCCCGAGGGCCCCGCGTCGCTCTCCCGAGCCAGGGTTCTCGGGAGCAGGCCGCGCAGGAGACGTTGGCGGGAGGGGTTCGTGGCTGTTGGGGGAACCGGCTCCGGGGGAACAGTCCCTTCCAGGGTGGGCACCGTGGGCAGGCCGCCGGCCGCCCTCGCAGGGGACGCCGGCCAGACGGCCGCGAGTGTCGACGTGCAGTCCGGTGCGCCCCGTACGCCCAACTTTTGAGGCTCAGGAGCCCCGGGTTGCTGCGGTTGGCTGCGCCCCGTAGCGCCCCGGGGGCCGAGCATCAGCCGGTGGCGCTGCAGGTGAGCGGTCGCCAGGGCGATGAGGACCAGGGCGCACGCCCGCCGCCGTTGGCATGGAAGCCGCTCGGAGGGGCCCGGGCTGCTCGCTGATTGGCTGGTTCAACAGACGCGGCTGGGTCGAAAGTGCTCAGTGGCGAGCGCAGCAGCCCTAGCCGCAGGAGCGGCGCCCCTGGAATCTCGCCACTCCGGGTCCCCTCCCGGCACGCCAGGCCCCGCCCGCCCCGCCCCGACCCGGGTGCGCTAGCTAATCGCCTCAGGAGGAGAAGAACCCGAGAATCAGGGTCGGCTGGGGTTCCCAAGCAGGTTTGGGGGCCTTCCTCCGGTGAGAAGCACCTGCTTGTCACTTGGGAAGGGGAGTCATTTGTCCACAGGCAGAGTTACAGAGATCAGGGAATGTGGGGAGGAAAATCAGGGATCCTAGGCGTAGCACCTCCCTAACCCACACCCCCCCAAAACACAAATCAATGTGGGCTGGAGAATTCCGATGTGGAGTTTGGACAGTCTCTGTCTCTGTGTCTCTTTGTCTCTCTGTCTCTCTCCGTCTCTCTGTCTCTCTCCATCTCTCTGTCTTCCTCTCCCTCCCTCCCTCCCTCCCTCCCTCCCTCCCTCCCTCCCTCCCTCCCTCCCTCCCTCCCTCTCTCTCTCTCTCTCTCTCTCTCTCTCTCTCTCTCTCTCTCTCTCTCCTCCCCCCATTACAACTTTCAGCCTGGGGTCAGATTAAGACCTATTCAGTTGCTCTGCAGCCTGGTGCTTGCTGCTTCTATGGCTCCCTTCTGGAGCACTGCCCTTAATGTTTGTTGGGAAGTTGAGAAACTGGTGGTGACTCCCGGGGCTTGGCTCTCTTCCTTGCAGAGTTCTCCACATTCCTGGGTCCCCAGGTTGAGAGGGTTGACTAACTTCGTCTCCTTCTCTTTCCGGGATAGCAGCAGCTTGTGGTTTCGTAGGCGATGCGTCGCCACAGCTCCAAGAGTGGGGTCGCCCTGCCTCCAACGGGCCAAGGCCCCGAGGCTTGTCAAATGCTCGCTCGCGCTCAGCTGGGCCAGGATCCCCCCCAGAGAACCGTGCTAGGGGTGCTGACTGAAAATGAGCAGTACAGGAGGACCTGTGGCCAGGTAATGACCCAGGAGCATCATGCGGTGGACAAGGCCTGCCTGCAGCAGTGTGCACGTATGAGTGTGTGTGTGTGTGTGTGTGTGTGTGTGTGTGTGTTTCCCTCCTATATCAAGGAAATAAGTCTTAGAGACTGTTTGGGTTAGGTCTATGTTAAGTGACTTAAGGTCTAGTCAGAAGGGAGATGCAATTATTCTGGTCCATAGCATGGGGGTTGGGGCGGGAGGGGGAACCTCTGAGCCTGAAAGGTGTGCAGATGAGCCAGGCCACAAGGAGTCAGTCGATGGAGGCAGTGTGTGTACCAGGATACACTAGTTTACTTTCTAAAAGAAAGGTGGCATCTCTACCACTACAGACAATGGCACTGGGAAGCTACCTGCCTGCTCTTAACTGTAGGATCTGCTATGGAAGACAGTAACGAACCCAGACGTTTAAATGTGGAGGAGAGATTTGAATCTGCAGCATTGGCTTTTTGAGATAGGAAATAAAGTCTCCCCTAAGCCTGTCATAACGATGCCTCAATTCTGTATTACAAGTTTGTAGAACCCTATGGTTCCGAGAGGCCAGTCCAGCAGGTGGTGGGTTTTAAAGGGGAGGTTAGAGATGGTTTACCCCTCTCACATGTTACAGTAGAAGCTCATTCATTCAGAGACCCCTCATCTACTGCCTCTTCAAGTCCTCTGCTCTTGGGTCTGATTGGAGCCATTGGATCCATCCCCCAGATGCTCTGGGTCAAGCTTTAACAAAGCTGGCTTACCAATGTTTCACTTCTTTAAACTTACCATCTGACACCTGAATTTATGAATTGAAAGTGGTGTTTATACTGAATGCCCTTGCTTGAAATTCACACTCAGTTCTTGTGCTACCTGGAGTTACTGCTTGGTGCCTCCTCGATACTCCATTCCCCTACACCCTTCATAGAATCCCACCTCCTGCCTGATTGCCCATTAGTTTTTGTTTTTTGGTTTCCATTTGGTTTTAAAATAATTTAATTCCCTCATTACTATGTATGTATGCGTGTACATGTATGATGTGTGTTTGTGAGCATGCATGCCGTAGCATTCATGTAGAGGCCGGAGGACAAGTTTGGAAGCTGCTTCTCTCCTCCTGGGGCTTGAACTCAGGTCACTGGGCTTGACAGCAAGTATCTTTACCCTCTGAGCTATCTTGTTGCCTCAGTCCCTAATCGTCCATAGCTCTGCTCCTTCAGAATAAAGACTAAGATATCCTGCTTTCCCCAAAGCATGCTTCAGCCAGAAACTTCGCTCTTCCTCCCAACTCCAGGGAGTCGGGGGAGTCTAGCCCAAGCTGGCTTTGACCTGTTACATAGCTCTAAATGGCCTTAAATTCAGGACCCTGCCACTCCATCCCCTCTAGTGCTACAGTTACCTGTTTGCTCCCTTTGGGCCAGCAGCTAGAGTCCTTACAGCTCCACTGTGCCATCCCTGTCCTGTTCTGTGACTGATGTGCCCCAGCTCTGGAATCCATGGCCTCTTGACTTTCAAGGTACCTCTCCAACAACTCTTCAGTTTCTCCATTTCTCTTCTCTCTGGCTCAAACATCATGGATGGATGGATGGTGTAGCCTCCCATCCTCAAACTTGTTCAGCCACAGAGCTAGCTGTGTGCAGCTGCTGTCCCAGTTCCAGCAAGATTTATCGGAAGCTGTCTGTCTCAGTGGTATGGGCATTCCACCATGGTGACAATGTGGAATGACACCTTCTTTGTGGTATTCCTAGTGTCTAGAAGAGTGATGACCCTGGCTACACAAGCCTAGTGGGTTTGTTGACTTGGCAATTTCTGTTTCTGGGTCTTCTCTCACTCAGTTGTTTTCTTCCTTGATATATTGACACCTTTCACATAAGTGACCATTCTTCCTTCTTTGAAATCACTTACTCTTGTTCAGCTTAGGGAACAGTACACTTTCTAGATGTGCTATGCTACGCATTGCTTCTCCTCAGTGTCTTGCCGGTGGCACATAGACCCACAGAGACAGACACACAGACAGACAGACGGACACACACACACACACACACACGCACACGCACACGCGCGCACGCATACATGCACGCACATATGTAAAGCAGAACTCAAATCCAGCAGTCATAGGTAGTTGTAACTTGTCTCTTGGGATTTTTTTTCCCTAACATTTTATTACAAATTATTTTTCCTACTAAACGTAACTGTAACTTGCTCAGTGGAAAGTAAATTCATGGAATGGCATATGAATTGGGAAGTGGTGACCAATAATAAGCTTCAAGATTAACTATAAGCAAAATGTTCACAGCCCTGGCTGCCACACATGGCTCTCCTCAGGCCACTGGTTTCCAGTGTTCACTATGACAGGGCCACCATTGTTCTCTCTGTAAGAATAAAGAAAAGAAATTATTTAAGAAAAATTCCCCAAGAATGATGATGTTGTCATACAGAAATATTTTCATACCATTTTAGAGCATTTTGTAGCTCAGGGTTCCAAAGTCATGATGTTTCCCTGAATAACCAGGCAAGGAATGAAAGCTTTATGGGCATCTGCAATGGAAAGTTGGGAATTTAAACAGAGGGCTAGAGGAACTAAAAAACCAAGGATCAAGGGTGATGCTGAGTTTTTGTAAAATACCTTAGTGCTCTAAATGCAAAGGGAAAATTGCAATTTCCCCTTGAATATTATAACTAATCAGTCTTCTAAGTGTATTACAGGTCTTACTTATAGTGGTGAATTCTCTGTAACACACATGTAAGGAAGGTGATGAATTTTAAGCAGAACTATTCCCATAGACAAATGTAAACAAAATGAAAAGGGAAGTCATGTTCAGAGGTTTAGTATTTGAAATTGGATGGCCAGAAAGTGAGAGAATTTGCTCTCACTTTCCCAAGCTACTGGTTTGAGTGACACGGGCTTATATTGCTCACAGCGGATGGTGACCCACAAGAGATGTAACTTTTCTGTTTTTTTTCTGTTTTTTAAGGAGATCACAACGATCAGATGTTTTTCTGGATCAGAAAATGTCTTCCCTGTGGCTGGGAAGAAAATGCTCCCTGACCATGGGGTCAATGAGCCAGCCAAGCACGGATTTGATATCTACATGGATGAGCCTGAACAGCGGGACCGGGACAGCTGCCCAGGGAGAGAGGGGATAGTATTTGAGGACGTGTATGAAGTAGACACAAGCATGCTCAAGTCAGACCTCCACTTTCTGCTGGATTTCAACACAGGTAATCGTGCGCCCCTAGGGCCACTGGTGCCCTGTGCATACAGCTCTCTGCCATGTTCCAGTGGGGAGCAGCTGGTGACAGAGAAACAGGAAGGGCTGGCTGGCAGTGTTCACAGCTCCCTGTGCGGGTGAGTGGATGTGATAAGCCTCAAAATGAAATCACTTACATGGCCACGTCCCACCTCTACAGTTTCCCCAATGCTGGTCGACTCCAGTGCCCACGTCCAGTCGGAGGAAGCAGCAGATCTTGGCTCAGACGTGATTAATGTAACGGAATATGCCGAAGAGATTCATCGTTACCTCCGAGAAGCTGAAGTGAGTTTCCCAACCTCCAGTTCAATCTGTAGACTCTAAGCGCGGTCGTCATATCACAAACTCTTGGCCACAGCCACTAGCAAACAGCACCAATGTGAGATCTTTAAAACATGAGAAATTTATAACAGAAAAGAAAGGAAGAGTCTTGAGTCCAAGTACTTGGGATAAGGGACCCCCAACCTGATGTCATAATGCCAAATATCAAATACACACTTGCTTTTTCTGTGGTTAGAAGTATCTGTGTTAAGTACTCAGGAACCACACGTAAAATGTTTTATATCAGCTCATTGCATGACAAAACCAGAGCCTCACATTTCCTCCTTATCGTGTGATGAACATTTATTCGGCTGGGAATCAGAGCCCTCCTGGTCTCCGTTCCTGGGATCTCTGGGAGTGTGTCTTTGCTAGTGCAACCGCTGAAGACCCGCACTTTCCCCCACCAGGTAAGGCACAGACCCAAAGCTCACTACATGAGGAAGCAGCCGGACATCACAGAAGGCATGCGCGCCATCCTGGTGGACTGGCTGGTGGAGGTTGGGGAAGAGTATAAACTTCGCACAGAGACCCTGTACTTGGCTGTCAACTTCCTGGACAGGTTTCTCTCCTGCATGTCTGTTCTGAGAGGGAAATTGCAGCTTGTCGGGACAGCAGCTATCCTCCTGGCTTCGTAAGCGTTCTTTCGGCTCGTGAAATGCCACCCATTAAAACACTCCATTTCCGTTTACCCCCCTCCGTTTACTGAAGCCATTGTAGTGCTTGCAGTTAAGATGCTCTGTACTCTTCCAATAAGGGACTGGAACCTTTGCAGGTTAACTGAGAAAAGTCAACCTTGCCCACAGGCTTACTCTTCAGTTCAGATGCTTGAAATTTGTAGAAAGGGTCTCACTATGGTGATTGAAGAAGCCGTGGGCTGGGATCCCATATCTTACGCGACTGTTCTGCTGTAGTCTCTTGCCTGAGTTTCGGTACAAGCAAAGACCCTGTTTGCAGAGGTTTTGGTTTCATAAGCGCTGTGGTACCGGTCTGGCAAACAGCACTGAGTAACACAGCTCGTTCATGTGGTTCAGTGGGCGAATGCTTTAGCTGGTTCCTGTCGCTTTCAGTGACTCCTGACAGCCTCGTTGAGCGGGGAAGGAGAGCTGGGCTGTGGCCCAGCTGGCTTAAGAGATCTGTTGCTGAATGGTACTTTCTACTCTTCAGGCCTCAGATGTCTCAGCTGTCAATATGTTAAAAAACAAATAAACAACAAAACCAAAACAAAACAAAACAAAAGCTCTCATTTCCCTTAGAGAAAGCAGAACAAATGGAGAAAAATGACAATAATGAATTGTATTGTTATTTTTCTCTTGGCCACTCAGCATGATTTGCTAATTAATGAACTCAAATATGATCTTCAAACAAACAAACACAAAGCAATGGGATTTTTTTTCTGTTGTTGGGTTTAATCCTAGCACTCTTTATCACAAAGTGACCTGATACCTATTCAGTCAACAGAGATCCAGGGGAGTCTCTGTCCTTTAGATTTTACTCTGTGTTTCACAGGCCCCCAACCTGCCAGTACTCCCAGCGTTAGTTTGACATGCCCTTGTAACCCTCTCTTTCTTGGACTGAGGAAAAAGCTCCCAGTGTGTTTACAGCTCCGCACAGCTCGCTCTGGGACAGTTCTGTGGAAGTGGGAGAGTAAGGCGAGAGAGACTGCAAGGCCATGCGTGAGGACGGGAACCAGCCCCGAGCGCTCCAAACCTCCCCCCTGGTAATCCTTGGCTCTCCCCAGGAAATACGAGGAGATATACCCTCCCGACGTGGACGAGTTTGTCTACATCACCGACGACACGTACACTAAGCGGCAGCTCCTAAGGATGGAGCATCTGCTGCTGAAGGTTCTAGCATTTGATCTGACCGTGCCAACCACCAACCAGTTCCTCCTTCAGTACTTACGGCGGCAAGGAGTGTGCGTCAGAACGGAGAACCTGGCCAAGGTAATGCCACAGGGCTTCCAGGGCCGTCCAGTGCTTCAGCCACCCTCCATTTCTGTCTCCCAGTTTTCCATCCTTGTAGAGATGAAAGGCAATCCACTTTAAGAATGTGACACCCGTTCGTAAGACATTCCTGTTGACCGCTTTGGCAGGTCGCATTCACCAAACGCTCCCAAGTTTTGAAGCTGTGTAAGCTTGGTAACTCTTCCTTTGAGAGATATAGACAATAGGCAAGCAGTGGTTTTTTTTTTTTTAATTCCGGAGCCAAGTGAATGTGGATGAGTTTGGTTTGACTAACTACTGAAGCACTGTCAAGTTTGCAGCCATTTTGACTTAGAGACATTTGGTTGAAATTATTAACATTCTGGTTTGGTCAATGAGCTTGCCAATCACTTGGTGTAGGATATCTGTAATACACATTCTATGCAAAGAATAATAAGGAAAACCACACAGATGTCCCAGCGTTCTGCTTCTGACATGTCTCCAATGAGAACTGTATCAGTTTGCCTAATAATTAATAGCTTAATATGGCCATGTCTTGGCCTTCTGACTAATCTGAGTGGGAGGTCAACAGTCCCTTATCTGACCACCATAAAGCCTGATTTACTAGCATAAGAAAAGAAAAGTAGCCTATCATATATGCTACATGAATGAGGTATAGTAATGGAACACCACCACAAGGCAAGCATTAATTTGAAAGGAAGGTCAGAGAAACTACTACACTAGAAAACACGCCTGGCTTGAGTTTGGGGCTCATCACTAGGTTCTGGCGGAATGTGAAGAAGGCACCAATTGATGACTCTAATGTTAAATTCTAGGTTTACTGACAATTCTAGTCAGATTTGACCTTGCTCAAATTCCTGACTCCACTTAGATTTTCTCTCTGTGCTTAGTATGTTGCAGAACTGAGTCTTCTTGAAGCTGACCCATTCTTGAAATATCTTCCTTCCTTGGTAGCTGCAGCGGCTTACTGCCTGGCAAACTACATTGTGAACAGGCACTTCTGGGTAATGTTCTTTCTTCCTCCTAGGTGGAATAAATTCACCGATCATGCAAAAATCTGTTCAGTGCCTTTCAAGATTCAGAATGGGCACACCTCTTACGAGGACAAGTTAGTTTCATGATACCTGGTTGCCAAGACAACAGACCTCAGCTTGTTTGTTCCTGAGTATTCCAGACCAGTTGTCTTGGCTTTGGCTCCGTGGCTTAGCTCTGTGGGAAGCAGAGAAGGCATGGAGCCAAGGAGATGACGGGAAATCTCAGTGCCTACCAATATGCACAGAGGGCCCTTGAGGGTTAGCCATTGGCCAAGTCAGTCAAAAGTTGATCCTAGACAGTTGGAGTGGTGCACACCTATAATACCTTTAAGGTGGAGGCAGGAGGATTGTGAATTTAAGGTCAGTCTGGGCCACAGAGGGAGAGCGTCTCAATAAAATAAACATTATTAGCAATCATCTTCTGTAACAAGAAAACTCCAAGCTCAGTAAGGACTGCTAGAAGCACTCAGAGAACAAGGCGTTTAGTGTTTCTTGCCTCAGAAGGTAGGGAGATGAGGAAACAGACCCCTACCTTTTGTCCTGAAGTCTCTCAGAAGTGCAAAAAGAGGTGGAATATCTGCTCTTACTTTGTATGCTACTAAATAAACAGTCAAACATGTATTTGTGTGTGTGTAAGAGAGAGAGGCAGGGAGGGCGGGAGACAGGGAGGGGGAGATGGAGTTGGGGAGGGAAACACAGAGAGAGGGGGGAGGAGAGTTGTGGATGTCAGAGAAGGACTTTCAGGGGTCAGTTTTCTCTTTCTCCAAGGACACCTTTTGACTAGGAATCTCCCACACTTTATGCAAATTCCTTAAGAACCAGTGAAAGTCCTGCCCCTGAAGTAACAAGAAGAGTAATCTGTCCCACACTAAGGGTTACAGCTATGGCCTGGAGCAAACTTGGCTGTTGCGTTTCTAGTCTAAGTTGCTAAAGAGGTTAGAAATCCTTTTTTTTTTTTTTTTTTTTTTTTTGGTTTTTACGAGACAGGGTTTCTCTGTATTGTTTCAGAGGCTATCCGTCCAGCCTGGCCTCGAACTCACAGAGATCCGCCTGCCTCTGCCTCCCAAGTGCTGGGATTAAAGGCGTGCGCCACCACCGCCCGGCTTAGAGATCCTTTTACACCCATGTGCACAGTCACTGAGGCCTCATTGTCGTCACTTCCTGATCGGTTATAGTCAGATTCCTAACCTCTTATAAAGTTAGGTGAAACAAAAATTTTCTCTTGTTTCAACTAGCCAGAAACGCTTGCTGCATTTACGGGCTATTCATTAAGTGAAATTGTGCCTTGCCTGAGTGAGCTGCATAAAGCCTGCCTCAGTTTACCCCATCGACCTCAGCAAGCAATCAGGGAGAAGTACAAGACTTCAAAGTAAGTTGTGGCACCCTCCCCTCCTGGCTTTCTGGGTTGCCGTGGAGTCGGAGAACTAAAAATAGAAGAAATTCTATCCTCTGTTAGGATAGAAAACAAGATTGCTCGCTAAATCAAGAAAAGGAATTTAGAAAGGTCCAGGTTCACGATTTGCCAGCGTTTGGCAGTTAGAGTTAGCTGGCATCCTTCTGGCCCCGAAGACTACTGGAGGCTTTCCGTAGCCTGACTGGCATCCTTGGCTCTGGCTGACCCTGCTTGCCCTGCTCTCATTTCAGGTACCTGCACGTGTCCCTCATGGAGCCGCCTGTAGTTCTTCCTCTGCAGTGAGGGGCAGAGCTGAAGTCACCTACAGAGTACAGCGGCCACCTCAGCAGACTTGCTCTGAAGTCACCTACAGAACACAGCGGCCACCTCAGCAGACTTGCTCTGAATCGTTTCAGGCTTCTGAAAGTAGGGTCAACTAATGTCAGCTGTAGATGACATCTTGAAGGTGTCAATGTTAGGTTCTCTTAGACTTTAGTAGTTTGTAATTTATGTAGATATAGAAGAGCATTTTAAACGAATAAACACTTGCTGTATAGCCATGTGTTAGACCTGTTTACTGGTTGGCATAACTGATACTCACACCTGGACTCTTAGTTGTGAGCTGTACACATGTGCGTCACGGCTGTTTCCACACTGTCCCAAGCTTGTTGTGTAAGCGTCACATGCTTCAATGATGAAGTACTTTGAGGCAGCCACGCCTTTCTTATCCTGTGAGGCTGTGTAGCCGGGTGAGAGGAAGACGAGAAGGACCAGCTGAGATTGATGGATGGTGGGACACAGTTGCTGCTGTGTGTCCTAGCTTCCCTCTACAGCCCTAGTCAGGACAGCAGCAGACATACAAGAGTCCCTTGTGTTCAAGCATCTTTTGGGGGTGGCACAATATCAGATCTACTCTCACCCATGGGTATCATGCCCTTTCACTAAGGGACTGCCATCAGATCTCCTCATCTTGGATCCTGGTAAGCACCAGGCATGAGTTTCAATCATAGACGATGCTTTGAGAAATAGACAATGCAAACTTCAGCACCGAATGACACTTTTGGATAACGAATCCAGCACCTTTATATTTCCCTCAGGGAGACTCCATCATAAACTTTGCTTGGGGTGGGGAGATGAAAATGAAAGTGGATGAATTTCGCCAGCTGGCTTCTTGCTTTTCTCTCTTATGCCATCTGGGCTCTAGCCTCTTACTGGGCTGCTGCCCACATTCAGACACACCCAGAAGTGTGCTTTTCTGATCTCAATCTAATCAAGTTGACAGTCAAGGATAACGACTGCACTTACATGGCTGAGATTGCACAGTTCCCGGAGGCTGCTTTTTCATACTGCACAGGTGAGCGTCTAGACTGGGGAAGTAAGAGTGAGACAAAGGGTCAGACTTTGTCCCTAAGACAGGAAGGAAAAAGAAAATGAATTTGGTCTCAAGACTGTGTGGAGTTTGCTGGAGACTGAATGAACTTTAAAAATTAGTGCCATGTGTTTTGGGGCACATATGGGTCTCCTGCTTTGAGGAGCGAAACCTGTCCTTGGACTGTTTCTAGTGCTCACTACAGAAGGTTCTATAGGAGAAATACAGGAATTATATGCCTCTTAGATACTATTTATATAGGAAAGATTAGGTTCAGGGAAGTCTTGGGAAAAATGAGAGTTCATGAAATCCACTACAAATATTATATATTTTTAAGCACTAGTGAAATTTTATATCCAAAAATATAGCCACAAAATGAACCAAACACATTAGATAGACATACAAAATTTTTGAAGAATAAAAACACCACATCAGGCATTTTGTGAAGGCTTTTTGATGCTCACCAGCCACTGAAAGGGACAGTCATTCCCAGGGGGTCACCCTTTGGGAAACCAACATGTCCCAAAGCAATTTGATATTTAGGACATAGTCTCAGAGGCAGGACTTGCACCAGAATTAAATTCTCTGTGCCAAGGACCTGTTAGCCTCACTGCCTAGTCTTGGCACAGCTGTTGTCCCTGTTCTGTGAGTAGAAGCGGAATTTCCCAACCACCTCACAATGTGGCCAGCACACTGACTGTCCTTCTTTGGGGCAGTGGGAGATCTGCTGTGTCTGCCCCTTTCAACATTTGAAACTCAAGATACTCCTCCAGGGGCTGCTTCTTTCAACTCTGCCTCTTTGCGACTGCTGGCCACTTCCTCCCTACGGTGTGTGTGTCCTGAGTTGGGGTTGGACATCGTAACATTGAGGCCCCATGTAGGTCCAGATGCAGTAGGTTTTCTTGACCGGCACATTCTTGCTTTAGGATGCTTTGCTTCCAGCAAGCGTTCTTGAAGAAATAGAGCATTCACTTTGAATCATTTTGCAAATGATTTTTTTAGAATATGGATATAGAATATGATTTGACTGTAGACCACATAGCCACTCTGCAGGATACAGTCTGAAGACACGCCCTTACTCTTTGCTGTAAGCAATTTATACACAACACGTTTCTATTCCTGCACACACACCCACTGGTTGCAAAGAACAGGTCCTCGGCTCCGACTTCCTTTTCTTATTTCTCTGTTGTGTCCCTGAAATACCGTATTTAAAAATAGCAGGAGAGTTGTCACCTGTGTGCCTCCCCCCCAGCTTGTGTGTGAGCAGCACTTATCTGCAAGCCTCTCCTGTTATACCAGACTGTATTTGTTGAATTCTGCATTAGTCAGATCTTTGCATGTGTTCTGTCTTCATACAAAGAAAACCATGATACTTATTTAAAGTCAAATGGCTACTGCTGGCCACTCATACTGTTTAGTAATTTTGGTGGGACTTTCTTTTTGAGACATTTGGAGTCAAGTAGTAGACTCTTATGATTTTGTAAAATCATTTGAGCATCGACCATAAGTCTATGACTGACAAATACATGATTTATCTGTTCTCATTATTTTTCTTCATGCTTTTACCATTCAACACTATCTACCATTTGCAGCCTAGGAGACTACTCTAGGCAGGGCTGAGGGTGTAGCAATGATGCCTCTGTCTTCCTTCTGGTCTGTCATTTCAGACAGACACACACTTACTCAAGGAAGCTGGGCATGACTAAGTGGAGAGATCCTTGGAAAAGTGGGATTCCTGGAGCCACATTTGTTGTGCATGTATCAGGATTGATGTTCAAGATGGGATGGATTATCCACATGGCTTCTTTTCCAGCACACTTCTGCACTCCACGCATTTTGTATGGAACCACAGAACGCAAGTGCATGCTCTTGGACTGAAGAGTGCCCCAGCCAATGCCACCCACAGGCTTTCTGCTGCGTGTGTCCTGTCTGTGAGGCAGGGTGCCATGGGTACAGAGGCATTCCTTAGGACCCAGAGCTATGAGTCCACGTAGCATCCTGGATCCAGGGAGAGTGTAGTGTGTGAGATAATTGGTATTTTAGTTAGGGTTTCTATTGCTGTGAATAGACACCTGACCAAGGCTACTCTTACAAAGCAAAACATTTAATTGGAGCTGGCTTACAGAGGTTAGTCCATTATCACCATGGTGAGGAGCATGGCAGCATGCAGGCAGATGTGGTGCTGGATATATAGCTGCGAGTTCTACATCCTGATTTGTCGGCAGATCGATAAAGAGATTGGACCTGACTTGGGTTATCAGAACCCCAAAACCCACCCTCAGTGGCACACTTCCTCCAACAAGGCCACACCCCCTAATCCTTCTAATTCTATCAAAGAATTCCACTCCCTAGTGACTAATCATTCAACTATATGCGCACCTGGGGGGCATTCCTTTCTAAAAGACCACAGTAGGTCTCTAAGATAAAATTTCACTCTGACAGTATTTTTTTTCTCTCTATCTTGAAGGGTATAAATGAACTTGGACAGTGAGAGATAAGTTTCTACTATGTATTTCAGGAATGACACTAGGCTTGACAAGTGAGTTTGACAAACTGGTCAATGCTCACCTAGCCAGATTAATGACAGGGGGAGGCCAGAAGGAAAAAGTATATATGGAGGGCAGGGCAAGTGACAAGGTCTTTGGAAACTGAGTCAAAACAGTCTGTGGATAGAATGTAAATAGAGTCCGTGTATAGAATGAATTAAAGTTTTCCAAGGCAGGTAATTTAACCAGATGAATCCATGGGTGTCAGCACCCAGCACTGGCATGGGTGGGTGCTGGTATAGCCTTATACTGCCCTCATCTCCCATAACTGTCTTCCATCAATTCTGCCTGTTCTCCTACTAAGCTTGCCCAGGGTTACTTATATCTATCAAATTGCTATTTATTATCTGCACAAAATTGTTTGCTCCCTACAAACTTGATTACCTTGCTAACTGGTGGGAGAGAAAGCTATTCTATTGCTGTAAGCACAGTTGTTACTGACTGTTTTGCCTGTGGTTTCAGCCATGTTTAGTCCTTATATTGGCTACAATTTTTCTGAATTGTCACGCATGGCTTGTGGGAACAAGGAATTGCATGAATCACTCATATCCGTCCTTGTGTGCAAAGACAAAACTGACCCTTTCTCCCCTGTTAGTAGGAAAATGGAGACAGAGAATACTGAAAGCTCCATTCCCAGGAGGGAACCTTCTGTTGGGCACACACGTAATACATTTCCCCTGCCTCTGTGTCACAGAGAATGTCTTGTAATTGAATGGGTATTTGTAAGGTTACAGAGAGCTAAGTCTTGGAAGGCAGCTTGCCTAGGCCTGACCATCAAGCCCAAACCCAGGTACTGGAGACAGTAGTGTACACTCACATTCTAGTCCAAAGTGGAAGGCTGTGTTCAGCAACTACCAGCAACAATATTGTCTCCAGGCACACCTTTCCTTATACAAGCAACTCAGTCCAGAGCTGGACTCAAGAATAATAGAGAAGTCCCCTCCTGTGCCCCACAGCTGCCCAGGATCAACCTAAACTGGAGATCATCGGAGAAAACATCTGGACTAGCTGCTAAGAGAAGGAAGTAGGTACAACCTGAACTCATCTAAGCTTGGCCCTCCTGGAAAGGATCTTATGCCGTGGCTCAGCCTGGAATGCAAAGACAGTAGCGTTTATAGGACAGCTTGAAGGACTGAGTGTACACGTCAAACTCCCACTGTCTCCCACTCCCCCGGGGCTAGTGCCTCTCGGTAGCTGTTCTTTAGACAGACTGAGCTCTGGAAGGGCGTGTAGCAGAGTCCAGCCCCGTCTGCCTTTCTTTGTTCAGCCAGGAACTCATTGTTCCTAAAGGTCATGAACATGAACACTGGGAGCTCCACCCCGTTTTTGCCCATTGGTGTGGAACACTGGCTGTACTGGAGGAGGTGGTTACATTAGCCGTCCCTGTATCTCTGTCACTCACCGCATTAGCGATGTCTCACACTGTCGTGTCTCCAACTTACATTAGGAAGGGAGTTCTTGTCCCCACGTGACCTGCTATCTTTAGGAATCCACACGCAGTTTTTGTGGGGCAGGCAAGGAAAGAGAAAAATGGGAGTTTTCTCTCCTTTTCATTGCAGGATCTGGGAAATGTAAGTCAGCCCTATGCTCCAGAGAGGGGTAGGATCTCAACGTTTACAAAGATCGCATCTTTGACAGCGT